AAGATAAGGCTGTTGTGGCCCAAAAGTAAATATAAAAAGAATATTAAAAACCTACCAATTGTGTATATAATTGTATTATTAATCCAAATAAGTATATATTATACGTGCCCATGTGTGTATGTGTATGTGTGTTAACCGTATGTATGTATATACATATATATATATATATATATATATATATATATATATATATATATATATATATGTATATATATATATATACTTATATATATATGTATGTATGTATGTGTGTATATGTGTATGTATATAAATGTGTGTGTATCTATATAACGTACTTAAGGTAGCCACTGAAAATCAGGGCTAGGATGACACATCTTAGCGTTTCCTGAGTGGCAGTCCTATTTGGACCATTTCCCATTTTTTTAAAAAACTTTTTTTTTAATTTAGCTGTTCACTTTTTTTTTAAGTTTGTGTAGGTAAGTGTATAATTAAGTCTAATTATGAGAATAATTAAACATAATGTATGTTTTAAGTATTTATTGCAATTTTTTTAAGAAATGGCCAAATAAATATCTCTTTCTTTCTTTCTTCTTCTTTCTTTCATTTTCATCTAAGAACATTGATTTATCTTCAAAATGGTTCCTAATAAGCTTTACCATGTGGCAAGCGCATAAAAATGCAGCGACTCTATAATTCGCCGATGGATGTTTAAAAGTTGTTATTAATTTGTATTCGTTATTTCTTTGACAACCAAACATCTATAATAGTTAAAATATTTGTTGGGTGACCATCAAACGTGAATGAAACCGTTTCTACGCCTGCTTCATGACATTTCAACAAACACATTCTGATCAAAAAACTGAAAATAAAAAAATTCTGTGAGAGCGTGGTCCATCCCCGGTCGAGCGACCCATTCGTGCTAAAACCATACTTCTAATAAAATGGCAGCATGGCTATACCACGTAGAATGTAGGTTCGACCCTAAAAATGACAAGAAATTATCTGCAGAATTTTGACGCCATTTTTTATCCGAATAGAGAAATTCATTTTAAGAAGGAAGTAGATTTATAAAAAGGATGATTGACAGACGAAATTTTAATATTCGGCGATAAAGTAAAGTTTTAATTTGATTTCGTTTCCCGTCCAGCAATTTTCATTATTTAAGTTTATACATATTTTATCATGATAAAATTATATTCTGTTTGTTAACAAAACGTATTCGCCTACCCGATCTTTGCCCGAAACTCCATAACTACCAAACTTCCTAAACAACGAGCAAAAATCGTATAAGGGAAACTTTGGCCGATAAGGACTTATCGAGAACAGAACAATCAGTAAATAATGCTTTAAAATAAACCCGGGCAGACATTCCTCCAGAAACATGGCATTATCAATATAATTGCAGTTTTAAATTCTAATTTTATTCACTGCTCATTAGTGAAACTCAAATATAACCTCAAATGGCTTAGCAAGATCCTCCGTTATGCCGAAAGTATTGCAGCATTAATTTTGAAATAAATATATGGTAAAGTTGAGGATTAATGTTAAGGTTTATGTTAGACGAAAACACGATTCCGTAAAATTTTCTCGATAGAAAAATCCAAAGTTACCTCCAAACTGAACAATAAACCGCTGTTATTCATAAAATACTTTAAATAAGATCATGAAACTTTGCATACTAACTGAACTAACCATAAAGCAGTGCTTATGTTATTTACTTTTTTAAAACATCATTATTTTCACTGTAAAAAGAAATTACCTAAACTATCGGCGCGTAAGCTTGGTTCCTGCGGAGCGACAGGATTTATTTCAAAATTAATGCTGCAATACTTTCGGCATAACGGAGGATCTTGCTAAGCCATTTGAGGTTATATTTCCCCTTAAGTACAATTATTTCGAGGACATATTAATTTCCCTTAATAACGCACTGAGGCAACATGTCGAATATTTCTCTGTAACTCTTAATAATTAAAATACGAGTAAAAAAGTATTCCACTTTTTTGTAATTATGCCAAATTGAATGTGATTTATGGGCAACAAAAAGAGCATACGCATTGTGTGCTATTCAAATCACGTTTTCACCGACCGAATGACCCTTACGAATGTGTGTCTGCGTAATAAAATAGTAGGCATTAGATATTTAAGGGTGACAACAATCAGTAAAAAAATGCATTACCACGCACTGTGAATTTAAAAGATAAAAAGACAGGATTTTTGAAATTTTTTTAATTAATTTTTTCCTAACCAAACACCTATATTGTGTATTCTAAGCCTTCTCTGCTAATCTGGGCATATGTAGCAAACTAACCCTATGTTAGTCTCCAGGCAACGCATTTAGATGGATTTTGATCCCTAATTTAGAATAGGTGTTTATGAGCCATAGGAATTACTTTGTATAAACTGGGCAGCGTATTTGCTTGACATCCTTATTTAATACAAAACATAAGCCTGTCTCAGTCTTTACTAAATTCATGAGCTGCCTACTTATATGAACTCCTTGCACATTTTATTAAATCATAATTTTCTAGTAGGAAGTAACGTAGGGGAGTTACGCCGCAGATATATATGGAAGCCAGCACAAATGGGCCTACTCAGCAGAGCAAGATCAACGCTCTAACAGAATACCAACGCAAAATACCACTTCAAATCAATTCAGCTAACTAGTTCGTTGACCTATGTCGTTTTCTTTGGTTCTGTTGCAAATATCCTCGTTACTGATTCAACCACTCTCTACTTCATTACTCAATACTTTGAAATGGGATACGACAGCCTCAGTAAGTTCCATTTAAAGGTATATAATATTTCTATCATAACCTCTATCCATTGTCTTTACATATAAAATGCTTTGTCGTAAATGACTGACTGACGGATCAAGGTACAGCTTAAACCGCTGATCGTAGAAACCTGAAACTTGACGAGTGTATTCTTTATATGACGTAGGCATCCGATAAGAAAGGATTTTCCGAAATTCCACCCCTTACGGAGTGAAAAACGGGGGCAAAGTTTGTATAAAGTAAAAAAAAGTAAAGTTACAGCCTAAATACGTCCCACTACTGGGCACAGGCCTTCCCTAATTTTGAGAGGATTTCAGGGCAAGGAAGTGTCCGCCGCGCAGCCCCAATGCATGTTGGCAAACTTCACATGTCTTCGAAATATTTTTTTCTTATTCCTCAGACATGCAGGTTTTCTCACGATGTTTTCTTCACCGCCGAGCACGTGGTGCCGGCGGGGGATCGAGCCCGGGTTACTCGCGTTCTGTTATATTTACAGCGAGCGTTAACCATCTGAGTTACCACGGCTCCAAATTTTCAAAATTTGTATGGGACGTTATTCCATCGTCCAATCTACTTCAAATTTTGCATAAACATTCTTTACAAGATTTGATGGAAGGCGTCTTTGGTATTTTATTGAAACTCATCCCCTAACGGGTTTAAATGGAGGTGATTAAATCTTTAAACATCATTTAACTCCCGTTGACCAAAGAAATCTATAGTTTCATAATACTTGACGATTTATTTAGTTAGCCGTGTAGTGGCCGTGTAAGAATATCCACTACCCCACATAGTCCCGTAGGTGTCGTAAGAGACGACGGAGAGAAACTGATAGAGATGATGAGCAGCATGAGAAATGGGCAGCAACGTTTTCTTGATGACAATCTATATCTATATATATCTATATCATCTATATATCTATATCATAACAACTGTGGTTACCAAGCGGGTGTCGAGCTTGGCAACTATGACAAAATTCGCCCTATAACGCAATCTATAGGGCAGCCCTATGCTCAGCAGTGAGTTATACGAAGGAAAAAAACTGATAACTATAAATTATCGATATTTTAAATAGAATTTGTTGAGTTTGTTCTTTTTTAAAAAGAAAAAATTTAAGCGTAATTGAAAAAAAAACGTCACAGGTTAAGTAGGTATTTATATAGATTAATGAAATGATTTTTTTAAATAAATTATATACAAACAAAAAAGTTGAAAGTGGTCCAATCTCGGTACAAACGGCGTTCAAAGTTGGCGACATCGCCAACAAAAGCATTACGATCGATGTGCAATGTACATACATTCTGTATATTAAAAAAATGTATACTTTATAAATACCTACCTACTTTAAGTATTCTAAAGAATACCGAAAGGCTAGCTACTCCGCTTCTGTGCTTAAGGCTGACAACATTAGTTTTAACGAAATCAAGTTAACAAAACTGTTGGTACGACTCTTCGCTGAGTTAAACGCTGCTAGGTTGCAATTTGCAGTATCAGCCCATATGTGACAACAGTACTCCACGCACGACCGACCTTGCGCTTTATATAAAGTAAGAATCTGCCTCAGCTTGAAGTACTTCTGCTTTGGCTTTCGACTCCATTGACCGCCCATAGAACAGGTTCGGAAAAATCTTAACACGTAACAACTAAAGGCGGTCAGTGTATTCTAAAGATACATTCTGGAAAGCAGGAGCCAGAGTAAGAAGGCACCTTTTAGCGATAAAGATACGATGATTGATAATGATGATGTTTTTATTGTTTATCGAACAATCTACAAGCAGAGGAAAAAGAAAAACGGAAATAAATAGAATAATTATATTTATTATATACAACTAAAATATCACAAAACAAATAATTACAGACTGTTATTTGTCCATGTTCAAGAAGAGTTTAGTTCCCGTTAGTTGTTTTCTTCCTTCATAATGACACAAATATTTATTTACAATACAATGTATACCACTACCATGATCCTGTGTTTTATTTTTCTCATAAATTAATCATATAAAAAGGACCTTCCAAAATAAATAAAATTGTAAAAAAATATTCATAGCCGTAAACTGCATTTTCCCTTTCAGTTATCTAGCTCGGTCTTTCGAGTTAACAGTGTCAGCACCCGATATGTTAAAAAACTATTCTCTAATTTACTTGCCTCCTGGCTATCCTCTTCAAATGCAAATAAGATATTTATCACCGAGAGAGAAAGCAGATATTTTATCAAACAAGCATGAAACAAACGTGCATAGCTCCATTAACAAAATGCAGCATATACGATTACTGTGAGCTTATTTCAGACTTTACATCAACACGTTTATGCTTCAAAGTGCAATGTGTCAATAACAACTTCTTGTAATAGAACGATCGGGTGCAAATCATGCATTTGTATGGGCGATCCCCAGTGTGGACGCTTCTGTGACGCTTAAGTTGCATCGAAGTTGAAAAGCATTTATCACACTGTTCGCACGGATAAGGTCTCTGTCCAGTATGCTTTCTCATATGAATCTTCAGTTGCGACTTCGCCTTGTATTTCGCCCCGCATTTCTCACAACTGTAAGGCCTTTCACCGGAGTGCCAGAACATGTGGTTCTTGAGCGAAGTTGGCGATGAAAAATATTTCAAACACACTTCGCACTGAAAATTTTTCTCTTTATTGATGTACTTCAAATGTTCTTTCAAATTTGCCGGACACTTAAATATTTTATCACAGTGTGTACATTTTACTGGCTCTTTTGTGTGTACAGTGTTCATGTGTTCCTTTAAAAAAAATAGTAAATATTTAGACCCACCCTTTCCATGTACTATGAATATAAATATGACAAATAACATAATACAATATATTTTTATTAATACAAAAATTTTGAATACTATATGAATGTACCGATCTACGAAAAAAGAATTTTGGATTTAATTTCATTAATCATTAAATTCCAAGTCGCTGATAGCACCAAGTAATATTTTTTGTTTTTATTTTCATTTCAAACGCCTTCTGAATTGCCCTTGTTAAGAATCTACTCATTGATGTCATTAAATGTTTTATATATTTTTCTCTTTTTTTCAATAAATAAAGGCCGAAACTACTATAAGTGACACATCTTTATAAGTAATTTATTTTTGTGTGAACCTAACTTTCGTATTAACGTTCAACTAAAATATTTGGACGATAGATCGCAAAAGGAAAGTGAAATGAGGAAATGAAGGCACACTTCAGACTTACCTTTAAATACGACGCCCTCTTAAAACCTTTACCACATATATCGCAAATACAACTTCTTACGTCCGAATGTTCCGCCAGATGTATCTTTATTTGATGCCTATATAAGAACCTGAAATTTATTTGTAATTACAAAACGACATTGAGACATATATTCATATTTAAAAAAAACAGCATACTTATGTCCACAAAGATCACAGATATATCTGCCGCCTTTATGCAGCCTCTCATGATTCCTCCAGGCTTTGTAACAACGGAACGTTTTGCGGCATACCGAACAAAGGCCGCCATCTTTGTTCAAATGAGCCGACCTATAATGGTACTGCAATCTCATTATTGTTACACTCCTCTTATCGCATATGTGGCATACTCTGTTAGCCAGTATCGAAAAGAACTCGTCGGGTTGATGTGTCGATCTGTAAAACAAACTTAAAATGATAATTTCTTCTTTTTTATCATCATTTCGCAAAAGCCCACTTCTGGGTATAGGCTTCTCTCATCGTATACCTTATCAATCCTAATAGATACCATAAGACGATGTGTAACTTAATAAAATCCATATTTTAATATTATATAATTTAAAAGAATTGAAAACCCCTGAAACAAAACGAACTGATTATTATTAAAAGGCTGAACATATTTTCTTGAAACATAGCTAAGAACACTCTCGATTTTTTTCTCGGCCTTTCAAACGAAAAAGACTTAATCAAACTCAGTTCGTCCGTTCAGGAGCTATGATGCCATGGACAGAAGACACACCGATACACAGTGCAAACTTATAACACCTCTCTGAATTCACCGGGGTTCAAAATAGAAAATGTCATATATCACAACATAATCAAATAATAAGAACTTTCGTTACTGTGTGGCAAGTTAGGTATTTGATAATATATTAAAAAGAAAAGAATAGACAAGTAGAGAAAGGAAAAGGAATGGGAGGCCTTTATGAGCTTTCGGTTCAAAACATTCCAACTACAAAATAGTTACTATTTTAAACTTTGCCTCATATTAATCAAAGTATATTCTAACAATATATTTATATTTAAACAAATAAACTATATTGTGTTGTATCCACTACCCCATATTGTCCCGTGGGTGTTGTAAGTGGTGCATATAATCTATATTTATATTTCTTATACAAATTAGATATATTTGAATTGTTACTAGATGCTTTACTAAGTGGCAGGACTCCTGTCACAGTATAAATATGGAACAGTACGGTAACTACCTACAAACGCTCAAAACGCCACACTCACACAAACATGCACAACTACAAGACTCATAAGCGAACGTCGCGGTACTCTAGTGATTGTCGTGCCAAGACGCTTGGTTATCGACTCTCGACTCTCTCCACGATCTTTTTTAAAAATGCCACGAACGAATGTATTGCGTAGTATACGGCTGTTTGAACTCGGCTTTATCGAAACAGCAGCTATCGTATTTTAAACTTTCTGCTGATTTTGAAAGGTAAGAATTACTTACTGTTATTGTAATAATCCTTATCGAATTATAAGTACGTGTGATCGATCATAATGAATTCGTGAACTTATACAATAGTGGTAACAAAAAGTAATACTCGAGTGATAAATTAATTTCTAATAAAATACTATCGATCATCTACTGAGTTATCCGTGAGAAATGAACAAAATAACACAAATTAACTCACACGACAACAAAAACTCGTGTAAACGTCTTTCCGTAATAAAATCTGCCAAAATTTGATCTTCAAACGCAGCAGATAACGCATCTTTCTTACCTTATTACACCGACGAAGTAGTCTACTGGGATCTCTATCACGCGCAGAACGCGACGCATAATCGCAATAATGCTATACTTTTTGTATTTTCTAAATTTGGATCACCATGTGTCATAACAAAACATATATGACCTGTATTATGCAATGATTTTTTTTTATTTTTTACAACATAAACTTGATATCAACTGTGCTCAGCAGCGTTCCCGAGATTGCGACACATCTCGTCATGAATACCTTAAATCTCAAAACCTGATTGCACAACCAGTGCGTGTTGCCAGTGATGACGTATGGATCTGGGACGTGGTTCTTCACTGCCGGCCGTATGAGAAAGCTCAGTCGCTCAGCCAGCTATGGATAGGGCTATGCTCGGAGTTTCTCTGCGAGATAAATTTAGGAATGAGAATGTCCGTAGTAAAACCAGAGTAATCGACAAAGTCCAATGGACTAGTAAACTGAAGTGGCAATGGGCCTGCCACATAACTCGAAGAACCGATAACCGATGAGTAAAAAAGGTTCTCGAGTGGCAACCTTGTACCGGCAGGCAAAGTGTAGGGCGTACCCCACTGGATCGAGTGCGATAGATAGATAAACGATAGATGCAGGTGGCTTAGGACCGTGCCGGCAATCCTTGGGGGAGGCCTATGTTCAGCAGTTGACTTGTGAAGGGATCATGATGATGAATCTTTAAAAAAATGATTTTCACACATTCGTTATCACTATAGGGGCTGATCTTTTTAGTCATTACTCACAGTTTATTTAGTGTTAGGTTTCAGTTGTATTTTTACATTTCAAGCATCGATTAAGATTCAAAACACAGATGCGTTGTCACCATGTCGCCTCCGGGGACTAAGATGAAATGCTTAGCAACCAGTTGAAATATATTTTTATAAACTATGCATTAAATACCTTTGGTTCTAAGAATTACAAGAAATTACTTTTAAATTTTTTGTCGCCGTTTTTATCCGAATAGTGAAACTCATTTCAAGAAGGAAGTAGATTTATAAAAAGAATGATTGACAGATGAAATTTTAATATTCGGCGATACAGTAAAGTCCAGTATCTACCATTATTCATCCAGCAATTACCATTATTTAAGTTTATACATATTTTATCATAATAAAATTATATATTATTTGTTAATATAATGTATTCGTCTACACAATCTTTGAACGAAACTCCATAACTGTTAAACTTCCTAAACAACGAACGAAATTCGTATAAGGGAAACTTTGGCCGATAAAAGACTTATCGAGAACAGAACATTCAGTAAATAATGCTGTAAAATAAACCCAAGCAGACAATCATTCAGAAACATGGCGTTCAAATTACATAGGTATTGATTATTGTATTTTTAAATTCTAATCTAATTCAGTGTTCATCGTTGAAAGAAAATATAACACAATCCTTGACAACAACATGTCGAATATTTCTCTGTACCACTCTGGACTTAGCAGTAGGCCTGGGTTGTATCGCGTTTTCTGAGAATCGTATCTATATCAGATTTCGAGTTTCAATATCTGATATCAAAACTATACATTTCAATATTTAGATACTTATTATGTGTTAATATTTATGAGTGACAATCAGTAAATAAATGGTAATGCATTTATTTACTGATTTTAATGATAAAAATCACACGCATTCTGACTTTAAATGAGAAAAAGGACAGAATGTTTGAGATTTTTTAACTAATTTTTCTTTACCACTCATCTATATTACTTATTCTAAACCTTCTCTGCAAATTTGGGTATATATTGCAAACTAAACCTTTATTTTAGTTTAGATTTTAATTCCTAATTGACAATAAGTTTTTATGAGCCATAATAATAATAATAATGCCATATTTTTCAATTTTATTTAGTAACAGTTCGTGGTCTACAAAATCGAATGCTTTACTCATATCGAAAAAGACACCAGTAACTTTCATACCTTTATCAATGTTCTCTGTTATGTGCTGAGTTAGTGTGTAATTAGCTAGTGTTGTTGATTTTTCTTTTTGAAAACCGTTTTGTTCTTCTCGTAAAATCTTATGTTTATTTATAAAACTATTCAGTCGAGTATGAATTGCTTTTTTCAAATAATTTAGCTAATATTGGGATAAGAGCAATAGGTCTATAATTGCTGCCCGCTTTATGAATTGGCTTAAGCACAGAAATTTTAAGTTTGTTTGGAATATATACTTTGTATTAACTGGGCAGCGTATTTGCTTGATAATCTTATTTTTATACAAAAGCATAAGCCTGCCTCAGTCCTTACTATATTCATGAGGTGCCTACTTTTATAGGCTCCTAGCACATTTCAGGAAGTAATGTGGGAGAGCTACGCTGCAGCTATATTATGGAAGCCAGCACAAATGGGCCGGCTCGGCAGGAGAAGAACCACGCTCTCATAGAATACCAACGCAAAATATCACTTCAACTTAGTACTGTTATCTAGTCCGTTGAGCTATGTCATTTTTTTGGTTCTGTTGCAAATATCCTCGTTACTGATTCAATCACTCTCTACTTCAATACTCATTGCTTTGAAATGGAATGTAATAGCCTCAGTACGTTCCAATTAAAGGTATATAATATTTCTAATTTTTATCATCCCTCCATCCATTATCTATACATATAAAATGCTTTGTCCTGAATGACTGACTGACGTATCAATACACAGCCTAAACCGCTGATCGTAGAGAACTGAAACTAGGAGGGCGTGTTCTTTGTATGGCGCAGGCATCCGATAAGAAAGGATTTTCCAAAATTCTACCCCTAAGGGGGTGAAAAACGGAGGCAAAGTTTGTATGGGTGATTCCTCGTCAACGTGATTCCTCGGTCCAATCTACTTCTGATTTCGCATACGAGTAAACATTCTTTAACAGAATTGATGGAAAATGTCTTTAGTATTTTATTGAAACTCATCGCCTAACGAGGTTAAAAAGAGATAGAAAGTTATTTTGGGGTAATTTGCATCGAAGTTGATATCAATACTCCTTAGTGCCTTGGATTTAAATAACATTTTATTTTGACACATGTTTGAAAACTCAAAACGTTGAACTCACGTAAAAGCTTAATACAACGCAATACTCTTTAAAATTGGAATGTCAAATATAAAAGAATATTTAAATCAGATTAGAATTCAAAATATCAATTTTATTTGGTCTAGGATTATTTGAATGAAAAAATTACCTATACGAGGGGCACACTGAAATGATCGGGAATAAGATTATTGTTTTTCGAAGTATTATCGTACAAACCAATCATTAAAACAGTAATTCCAGTCTGAAGTTGATGTTGACAAAATGGCTGATTTGTACGCTTCCATAGCTGCTTCGGGGTCTTCAAACCGTTGACCGCGTAATAAGTCTTTCATTCTAGGGAATGTAAAGAAATCGTTTGGGCTCAGGTTAGGACTGTAGGGAGGATGGCTCATCAGCTCAACGTTTTCCTGCTTCAAAAAATCATTTGTCTTCCGAGCCGTATGGGAGCTCGCATTATCGTGATGTAAGATGATGCGACGTTTCGGGTTATTTTTTCGGATTTCGGCATCATTTCTAGCAAACAAACCACTCAGCGGTAACCGTTCTGCGTTTCTGTAAAAGGAATTGTAGCAACATGCCCCTTTTTTCGAGACAAACGTAGCGACCATTTTCTTTGACAGGCTGCGGGAACGAACTACTTTCGTTGGTTTGACCTTGTCTTCGAGGACCCAAACTGCTGACTGATGTTTTCTTTCAGGTTCGTATGAATAAATCCATGATTCGTTACCTGAGACGATATTATAAACGGCATTTAACTTCCTTCCGTTAAAGCATTGCAGAGTATTCCGGCACCAATCTACACGAGCCGCCTTTTACTCTTCGAACAAATTGTGGGGAACCCTGCGGGAAACTAGCTTTGTTACACACAGATCATCATGTACTATCGACTGAATAGCAGTCATTACGATACTGATAAAAGCCTGAATCTGCTCGTATGTCACATGACGGTCACCTAATATAATAGTTCGCACAGCTAAGATGTTTTCAGGCGTGACCGCTGTTCTTGATCGACCTGCAGAAGAAATAGTGCTGAGCGACACACGACCGCGTCGGAACTCGGCATACCAGCGGTATATTGTCGTTTGGCTCGGTGCTTCAACATCATAAATCGAAACATGTTCGCTGAGACATTCAACTTTAGATAAGCCGCGACGAAAATTGTGATAAATTATGGCACGGAAATGTTCACGCGTGAGCTCCATTTCTGTTAACGACGTGTCAACTTTAAACCAAGATAGTTTTTGTTTTTAAACATTTTTTTAATTGTTTGAATGTCATTAAGATTCTAAGAGGCCAGTATTCAAATTTTAAAAAAAGGTTTTATTGTAACTCAATCCGAAATATTCTATTCCCGATCATTTCAGTGTGCCCCTCGTACCTTGATTTTGCTTCGCACATTCCTTGGAAATCTCTCAGATTACCTACATAGCGAATGTTTGCGACTGCTGTATAATTTGTTTGGAATTTCATTTTCACTATCATGTGATGTGTGTTATAATGGCGGCATGCTCCAGAGTAAGCGCACAGAGTAGCCACGTGATTCTAGCACCCAAAGGAAAAACAAAAAATATTGTTTACAAAGAAATACTGCGGTAGGTGTAATATTTCGATTTCGTCGTAAAAAGACAATATGCCCGTGTCAGTTTCATCAGATGAGAGGCCGAGCTTCGTGTACATAAAATATAAAACAATTTTATTTCAATTTCATGTTTATTTTACCTTTAAATGGCTACACTATAATAAAGATTGTTATATTTTACAAGTATTCAAACATTTCAACATAATAATTTATATGTTATGACAACATATTAATGTCGTCATAACATATAAATTATTATGTTATGTTCATTGGTATTAGGTCCAAATATTAATTATTTTGTAAATAACGCCAAACGAAACATTTATCTATCTTAAACTTGACTGACCGTCTAATGATAATGCAAAAATATCCAATACGGAATTCATGGACGAAACCTGTATGTATGCAGATAGGCTATTAATGTTGAATGACGATGAATAACCATTGTTTCTATATAGAATGGTGAAAAAGGTGCACAAAGCCCAACTGATGGTAAGTATGTGCTGTGACTTATAGATATCTACATTTATCTTCAATTTAAAAATCCTATTAGAACCATCTTCTTCTACGCAAACGAAGTCACGGGCAAAAGCTAGTAGCCTATAAAAGTCCACTGCTTAGCATAGGCCTCACCATAATTGCCTATTAGAGGGGATTTTGCCAAAGTTAAGCTTGGCAGGCGAGTTGCCAACCGCAGCTTTTTATTTTTTGAGTTGTTATGAGGAACTGCTGCTGCCCTTTTGTTTTGGTTTCTCTATGTCGCTTCTTACGACACCCACGGGACGATAAGGGGCAGTGCATATTCTTACACCGTCACTACACGTTTAATAATATCTCAATTTTATATTATAAATGTAAGTATTCAATAAAATTTTAATAATATTAAGATTAACAATCGAGCTAAGAGTTTCCCTTATTAGATACAAATATCCATAGAATACTATAATACACAACAGAATGGCTGTCAACCTTATTTTGTACGAGGAGATGCGTCGCCGGGGCATACATACAAGAAATTACGTCGTATTATCCGATTCGCTGTGTTGACAGACAGATTTTAATACACATTTATTTGTAAATAGCGTGCACTTTGGCATTTTATAAATAATTTGCATGCAAAATATGGAAACGATTGTAACGTAAAAAACACTACGCTACGGGCTCCGCCCACTCGCCCGTTCTATTATGTATGTAATTATAGTATTCTTTGTAAATATCTAATGTAGCCGATGTACGTCTGTAACCTACTAGAAACAAAGAAGGCTACCCAAAGGCGTATACGCGTACATCACAGCCTCCCAAAATAAAACAGGCACTAGCGTGGTTTTACTCAGGCGGGCTCGACCTTGAAAATTGATCTTAAATAATCGATCGTGTTTATTTAGTTATTCTTTATTATACGCCAAAATACAGAAAACGAGTTGAATATACTTTAAAGTATATATACAACAGCCGGTCTTATCACCTAATCTAACCTATATCACAGCCTCCCGAAATAAAACAGGCACTAGTGTGGTTTTACTCAGGCGGACTCGACCTTGAAAATTGATCTAAAATGATCGATCGTGTTTATTTAGTTATTCATTATTATTATACGCCAAAATACAGAAAACGAGTAGAATATAATTTAACGTATATGTACAACAGCCGGTCTTATCACCTAATCTAACCTATATCACAGCCTCCCGAAATAAAACAGGCACTAGCGTGATTTTATTCAGGCGGGCTCGACCTTCAAGATAGCTCTAAAATAATCGATCGTGTTTATTTGTTTATTCTTTATTATACACCAAAATACAGAAAACGAGTAGAATATAATTTAAAGTATATGTACAATAGCCGTTCTTATCACCTAATCTAACCTATATCACATCTTCCCGAAATAAAACAGGCGCTCGCGTGGTTTTACTCAGGTGGGCTCGGCCTTCAAAATTGCTCTAAAATGATCGAACGTGTTTATTTATTTATTCTTTATTATACGTCAAAATACAGAAAACGAGTAGAATATAATTTAAAGTATATGTACAATAGCCGTTCTTATCACCTAATCTAACCTATATCACAGCCTCCCGAAATAAAACAGGCGCTAGCGTGGTTTTACTCAGGTGGGCTCGACCTTCAAAATTACTCTAAAATGATCGAACGTGTTTATTTATTTATTCTTTATTATACGCCAAAATACAGAAAACGAGTAGAATATCATTTAAAGTATATGTACAACAGCCGCTCTTATCACCCTTAAAAGTGATCTCTTTCATACAACCTTTGCGTAGAGAATTGACGCAACAATAGTTTAAATAAAGAGGGGTGTATAAAAAAATATAAATAGACACGACGAATGTCAAATTATAGATAAATATCTAGAATGTAGTAAACTATCGATAAATACCTGTGTCCTACCATTTCAGCGAGATCCTTGCCAATGTAATTGCACAACCCGCACTGTAAATTATTTTTCTCCCAATGTTCATTCAAATGTTGCTTCAAGTCATTGCTACTGGAGGACGAGAAATTACATAAGCCTAGAAATCATACATTAATTTAACTTAAGCTAATCATAATCATTATTTTAACTTTGTTGTTTTTTTATAATACTGAAATTTCAAAAAAACCTACAGTCCACCTGATGTTAAGTGGCAACTACAATCCATGGCTTCTGCAGCTAACTTCAAACAAAGAAAGCTCCAGATGCGTTGTCACTTCTGAGAAGTAACGTGGACTGCCTCAGAGCCTATAATAATTCTGGCTCACTATAGTCTCTAGACCAGAATACAGCAGTGCAAGAACTACTATATACATATGTATATGTAGTTCCTGCACTCGTTACTGCCTCGTTGGTCTAGTGGTTTTAGTGCGACTGCTAATCATGAGGCCCTGGGTTCAAATCCCGGATCGGGATAAAAAATAAAGTATTGAGTTTTTCCGTCAAGAAATTCTTAGTAGCTGCCCGTAGTCAGGAAGTTGGCGGTGTCCCACCCCCATGTCTCGGAAAGCACGTAAAGCCGTTGGTCCTGCGACTGATCTCTCTCCGGTCGTGTCGGATTACCGTCCCATCGGATTATGAGGATGAGAGAATAGAGTGCACCTGTGCTTGCGCACACACTTGAACATTATAATACTGTCCTGCGCAGATGGCTAATCTCCGTTGAGACTGACCGCCGTGACCGAAATCCGGTCTGGAGGACATTATTATATATACATATATAAGATGGTTATACATGTTATATATGTTATATACAGCGGACTCCTAGGCAGAAAAGAAGTCCTAGCCCCAGTTAAAAAAAGGAAATTGAAAAGTGTTGCTAGTAGACTAGTATAACCTCAGCAGTGAGGATATGCGTAGTATTAGAGAAAATGAAAAAAACGACGGGGTTGCACTCCAGGAGTGTCGGCAGAAGTGAAAACTTGAATATTAACGTTGTGCATTTATGATATTTTGGAATGATTAGGGAATAATTTTGCACGAATTGCTTTCATTATCACACACGAACATTCGCGCAAGCACCCTGCGCCGCCTAAACGAAACAGCGGGCGCAGGCATACATTTTCGCCGCGCCATAGAAAGAGAAGGGGATACTTCCTCTCCTACGCCGCGCCGGCTGTCTCTCTCTCCCCATCTGTCTTACGAATTTTCGATCAGGGTCACGTGTCCTGACGCGAGTTTAACATTTTTTACCCATTACAAAAAAGTGTACAACGCCGCTAAAGAAGTATTCACTTCAAAATAATTTTAATCGTTTACGTGGTAGAGCCAAGCTGCAGCTACATTATGGTTGTAGCGTGAATGAGTCGGCTCGACCGGGGAAGGACACTCTCAAACAATACAATAGCAGCTTAATACAATATACAATAGCAGCTTAATGCTGCCGTGTTTCCCTATAGCGAGTGTGGAAAATCGGAGATACGTTTTACTGGAATCGAGGCATTCCATCTTTGTCCTCGAGGATGGTAACGCATCTGCATTTTGATTCTTAATCGAGGTTAAATATAGATGTCTATAGGCCACAGCATTCACTTACCATCAGGTGGACTGTGAAAAAATATCGCTTGCCATAAATACGTCACTGTGATTCAAACCAAACACGATCTTTGACTATATATTGGCGGTGTAAAAATATCTACTGCCCCATCATCCCGTAGGTGTTATAAGAGGCGACAAACGGAATCAAACCAGGAAATAGGTAAAAGCATCTTCATAATAACAACAAGAAAATAATAAAACTGTGGTAGCCATCCGCTGCGAAGCGTGGCAGATATAGAAAATATTCCCCTTATGAGGCCTAAGTTCAGCACTGGACTTTGACAGGCTGTTATGATATGATGATGATGACGATTTTTTTTTTAATTTAACTTATCGGATTCTTTTTACTTCTTCTAAAGAATTAACTGTTTACATGACCTACTTATATAAAAAAATTAACGCAGTCTTGTTACTTTTGTACTTAATTAAGTGCCGATTTTTCAATCCTTAGATCAAACTTATTTTATGCGATGAGATACAATTTAAACAAATTTAAAATTACAGTAATAAAACTCAGGTCAGGTTTTATCATCTATCTGTCGATTGAAAACTCAGCCCTAAATTATAAAAAATGTTAAATCGTTGACACCTCAGAAATTTACTTAACCTTATATTTTATCGTTTAGGTTCAAAAAACATTCATTACTGCATGTCTTATCAGCCCTAATGTATGGTGGTGAAAGTTGGGTGTGGCAGAAGCACGAGAGTAGAATAAATGCTGTAGAAATGTGGTCATTTATCAAGAAATTTTGTGATAAGAGAAAAGTGCGGTTTGCAAGATGATGTTGTGACAAGGATTAGGAAGGAATATTTCGGTAGTTTAGTCATGTAGAAAGAATGAAAGAAGAGAGACAAAGCAAATTTATGTTGCATCAGTGAACGAAAGACTCGGGAAGAAACGCCTTAGACGAAAATTTATCGACGAAATTGGCGATATATTGAAGATGAGCCAGATTTAGAGTACCCTTAACCGACGAGCATGCATGCGTAGGTATATGAATGTAGAGGCGACAGGTGTGTCAGGATCGTGCCATGTGGAAGTCCGTAGTCTCTGCTTGCTACTCTGGGTGACAGGCGTGAGTGTTTATGTGTTATGTATGTATGTCTTATCAGGTCGTCAACTCAAGAACCTTTCTTTTCTATCAGTTGTCGGTTATTCGAGCCATATTGATTAGTAATAAAATTAATTCACTTACCACAAAATAATTCAGTTGGTGTCCTCTGAACCTTTTTTATAGCTGGCCTGTACTTTTTTACTATAACTAATTTATTTACGCTTACACGTTTGTAACAAGATTTCTTCATATGTTTTATGAGGCATTTCGCTTTTTCTGGAACAAATTCGAAATTGTCAAATCTTCAAATACTTAAGTCCAATGTTGAACTCAAACCATCATAAAATGGGAACTTTAGATTGTTTAACGCTACATTTGACAGTCAAATTGGCGATAGAATATACCTGCCAAACTTTTACTTTAATCATATCTTCGGGGTCGTTATTCAGAATCTGTCAAATGCTAATATTTAATATGGATATGAAGCTATTTTCGTAAGGTTGCAAACCTTCCTAAAAAACCTTATAGTAATACCTATTTTAAATTATTTTCGGAAAAAGACTAGGGAATATATAAGAAACATTTTTTTCAAAGCCATGTGAAGTTCGCAAACACGCATAGGGACAGCGCGGTGGACACTTCCTTGCCCTAATAACCTCTCAGTAATGAGAGGCAACCTGTGCCCAGCAGTGGGACGTATATAGGCTGTAACTTTAACTAACTTTTATATGTATCTGCTAAGCTCTATCCCCGTCACCACTAATCCCAGCACCTCACACACTACCATCGACAACACGACACGTATTTCTCCTCTAAGTGCTTGGCCATGCTGCAAACGCGGGCGCGGGACACAGCGCGGGTGCGGGTATCGGCGTATGTCAAGTCGTATTTGTCAAAATATAATATAAAAGAAGACTTTCTTACTGAAAGGTTCTTACTTTAGGTGGCAAATTCTACAACTGAAAAATGGAATTAATTAAATCAATTTACCCAGAGAACATGAAGGAGATTTTCACACAGTGTAATTAAAATTGCGAGCGCAAACTCAAAGTTTATTGAATATACGAGAATATCAATGGATGTAGGGAATAGAGTGAATGGGGCACTACACTCTATTATGAAGAACCAGAATGTATCAAAAAAGGCACGTATGGTAATTAATTCATAATGCTGTGTTAGCCCCTACTTTAATGTATGGTAGTGAAAGCTGGGTGTGGCAGAAGAAGCACGAAAGTAGAATAAATGCTGTAGAAATGCGGTCTTTAAGGGAGTATGCTAGGGTTGAATCTGAATGACAGGGTGCAAAATTGCGTGATAAGAGATAAATGTGGTATGCAAGATGATGTTGTGACCAGGATTAAGAAAGGAATGCTTCGGTGGTTTGGTCATGTAGAAAGAATGAATGAGAAAATAGTGACAAAGCAAGTTTATATGGCAGATGTGAACGGCCGAGTCAGGAAAGGACGCCCTAGAAAAAAGTTTATCAACCAAACTGGCGATATTTTGAAAAGGGGCCACGTTAGAAGTACCCTTAACCGACGAGCATGTATGCGTAGATATATGGATGTAAAGGAGGCGAAAGAGGTATGTCAGGATCGTGTCAAATGGAAGTCCATAGTCTCTGCCTACCCCTCTGGGTGACAGGCGTGAGTGTTTATGTTTTATGTATCAATGGATACGTTTGACTATACAGTATATCCGGTCACGGACTAGCGATATTGTTAGAAATATATAATATGAAGCTATTTCCTTGAAATTCTCCCGAAGGGATTCCCGTGGTTTTTAATTGTAATTTGCGCATATTTTCTCAATATTATCCGCTTTACCCGACAGCAAGATTCCATAAAACATAGTAAGTACTATGAATATTTGCAAAATATACAATTTTTGCAGTTACAATAAATAGACTTGTTGTTATATTAATTTAAGTTACAATGAAATAACATTTTGTTTTATACTATATGATATAGTTTTCTTTCCTTCAATTTTTCACATTCATCAGGTGACAACCCCATCAAAATAGGTAAACATTTTCGACGTTATTAGGAAGCTTCCCCTCTGGTCCATTCACTGAAAATTCGTGCTAAAACTTGCGTGCACCGCAAGTGTTATGGGTTTACTGAGCACCAGATTTGATCATTTCTTTTATTCGTAAGTGCTCAGTTACTACAGCTCTTGTGATACAGCTCTTATGAATTTCATTTAAATAACAACCATTTCCCGTTGACGAGTAGGGCAAAAACTTTGAGAGGTATGATTTTTTTTTGTATACACGTAGAGAATTTTTTTTTATAGGATAGGGTGACAATCGAGCACACAGTCCACCTGATGGTAAGTGGTTGCTGTGGCCCATAGACATCTACATCTATCCTCGATTACGAATCAAAATGCAGATGTGTTGTCACCCGTGAGGACTAAGATGGAATGCCTCGTTTCCAGTAAAATGGGTCGCCGGTTCTCTACACTCACCATACGAAATACAGCAGCATTAAGCTACTATTTCACGCTGGTATTCTGTGAGAGCGTGGTCCTTCCCCGGTCGAGCCGACCCATTCGTGCTACAACTATACATCTAATATAACTGCAGCATGGCTCTACCACGTATAATATCTAACGAAAAAAATTAAATGGCTGTCACATAGGGGGAGGGGATTAGACCTCAGCAGGCCTCTGTCACTCCTGCTACCTGCGTGAAATAATTACCTAAAATCGCGAGGCGCCCGGGGCGTTATACCAGGCCTCTTATCACTCTTGCTACCTGCGTGAAATAATTACCTAAAACGCGACGCGCCCGGGCGAAATAACGCAGTCAGGCCTGGCGCGTTGGTGGCGATCATTGATTTATATAACACTAGATCAGTAATAACCGCGCCAAAGCGTTTCCACTGCATATATGGCCACAGCCATATGCCTAGCTAACGTGAGTTCATTGTTCAATGTAACGCCGACAGAGTTGAGTCGCGACAAAAATGGGTAAATGCGTAGTGAAAGAATGCTATTCAAGGTCACAAATACGTAATAAACCAAGCGGAATCACTTGCAACACATAATATTTAGTTCTTGTTTTCATATAAACGTAAAAAACCTCAAATAATTAAATAAAATTATCGAATATTGGCATTTAGGTTAAATGTTGCCACTTTTCCGCATTTATGATTATCCTACATTAATGGGAGACTATATAATTAATGGAGTTTGTTAATTTGTTACCTCTGATTTTAAATATTTTGGAAATTATAATAAAAACTACGTTTTAACTTTCATACAAAATAATTGATTATTCTTATTTTAGTTTATTCATGAATTATCTATTAAATGTATTTTATTACCTATTTTATATTAATAATTTTATATTAATTATTATTTATAATTTCATATAAATTTTATATTAATTATATTTTATTACCTATTTTATATTGTTTGATTTATTAGTACCATAAAATACGTTTTATTTCATCATTATGTTTACTTCTATTCATCTGATAAGCTTTGTATCCCTTTTTTCTAAGGGGACGTAATAAACATTTTAAAATAAAATATACTTTTTAATATAAAAACAATTAACTGCAGCTTAAAAAAACTCATTTTTATTGCGTATTTTAGGTAAAATTTCATATAGTAAGCCCACACCAACCCGCCATTGCATGTTTGTGTGTCTATCTTTATCTAATCTTAGCGACGATATTGTTTTCGCAACTTGTGTAAGTGAGATAGATATATGATTACTTAAAATTGTTATTAGTTTCAAAGCTACGTTGTCGCGTTTGGATAGTGGTTACACTTTTTTCGACGCGCTGTAATGTGGTTTGCTCCTCTAGTGTTGTATAACTCAATGGTGGCGATCGAATGTTAAAGTTTTTTGCCGCTGTTTACGTAAATAGTTTTAT